AGAGTCTCAAGGCTGGAAGCAAATGCAAACCAACTCCCTAGGCAAGGCTAGCCCTGTCCACCCTGTGTACAATCCTTCCACAGAGTCTCCATGGCCACTGTCGTAAGGTCCAACCCCTTCCTGACACCCTGTGATTCTTTGGGATTTGGGTCCTGCTGATTTCTAACCTCATCCAGTCCTTGACCCCTCACCCTATCCCCACGAGCTCCACGGCCTTCTCTCTCCCCAGGGTCACCTCTGCCTTCTCTGGCAACCAGATCTTTGCTCACTCCATTCTTCCTGCTGGACATTCCTCCTGCTTTTCCAGCTAATAGTGTCTCTTATTTCCAGTTCTGGTCCACCCGGGACCTCTTTAGGGAATGCTCTTTAACCTTCCAGCCCTGGCTAGGGGCCTTCACCCGTGCTGTCTGGCCCTCACCTCTCTTGTGATTCTTCCCTCCCTGACTGTTCTTTGCCTAATTGGTCCCTCCACTTCACCCCAGGTGACAGATAGCACCTACACAAGAGGGCACCTAGCATATGTTCACTGGCTTGGGACCGACCGGGAGTCACTCTGCTAGACAATTCTTTCTCTTTAAACTTTTATTTTATTTTTAATTATGTGTCTGTGCTCGAATGAGGGTATATGCCAGAGGAATCGGACCCCCTGGGACTGGAGTTTCCCGTAGTTGTTTGACAAGGACCCTGGAAACTGAGCTCTGAAGAACATCGTGCTCTCTTAACGGTTGAGCCATCACCTCTCCAGCCTTGATAATTAGCTAAATAGCCACCCACATCCCCATTTAGCAAACAAGGACCCAGGAGGCTTCCATTGTGAGTCAGGGACAATCTAGGAGATAGGAAAGGCTGGGTGTGGCTGCATAATGTGAGGTTCGTGAGCATTTGGGATCTGCAGAGCTTTGATGGGCACACAGTATACCAGAGTGGGAGCAAACCAGCATTCGGTGGCACTGGACTGTCAACGGGGCCACTGCTCCTTCTTCTCTGGATTCGGAGCCTCTAGGAAAGGCTCCACTCTGCAGTGTGGCTCCAGAACCACCTGAATCTTAGACTAAGCACTAAGTACACATCCTATTACCCCATTGGATTCCAGCATCCTGAGACCACAGCTGTCACCATTCCCAATCCACTGATGGAGACACAGGTCTAGGGAGGCTGAAGGGTCCTGTGACAGCAAAGAAGGCAATAAAGCCAGGGTGGGACCCAGGTCAATGTTCAAAACTGGTGCGTAGGCAGATGTCATAGTGGGTCCCAGTCTGCCTCCACCAACTTTCCCAGGGCTCCCTGGACCATCGGTCACCCTCCAACTAACAGGCCTGACCCATGGGGCGCTTTCATTGCCTCCTCCTTGCTGGGCATCTCATTTTCCAGCTGTGACTTCCTGTCCCAGGGTTTTTTGGGAACAGTGGGAAAGCTCAAGGGGTGGGGTCAGGCTGGGCTTTGCACAAAAGGCCCATGTCCGGAACAAAGAGACCCGACTGCCCAGGCCGATATAACCATCCTTTGTGCCAACTTTAGAATTTCATTGCTTCCCCAGAGTCCCCGAGCTCGGCTTAGATGTTCTCGAGTTCAAGTTGATTTTAATAGCCTCCCTTCCTCCTTGTATTGGGCTATTGATCTTCATTTTGCAGACTGACTTTGGCGGTGAACCGCTGTATCTTGGAAGGCTTGTCAGGGGCTCATTTAGGCCCACAGCTTTCATTAGCACAGTTAACGTCCTGTATGTCACACACATATTTCCTCACGTGTAGCCTCTCTCCGTTTTGCTATCCAGATGGTTTTAAAATCAAGGAAGCTGCCGTGTTTGCCTCGAGCTGGTTATTTTGAATTTCGAGATAGCAGCCTCGGTCAGAAGATAAGTGAAACAGCTGGGCCCGGGTTGATTTCGCCTGCGACTTGCCAAGTACAAAATGAAGTCTCTGTTGATAATTTCCTTTGTTTTAAATAATTAACACAATTACCAATTTCTATTCCCCTTGGGATGCCGCAGAAGTGTATTTAAGTTAATTTGCTCCCTGTTTTGTTTTGTTTTGTTTTGTTTTTGATGTGTGTGTCTGTGTGTATTTGTGTCTGCATAGTGTGTATGTTGGGGGCATGTGCACATGTGTGCACAGCTGTGTGGAAGCCAGAGGTTGACACCCATCTTCCTCATTCACTCTCCATCTTATTCTTTGAGATGGGATCTCTTACCCACTTAGGGCTCACTGGTTTGGTAAGATGGGCTGATAGGCCCCAAGGAGCCTCTTGTCTCTACCTCCCCAGTGCTGGGGCCAAATACGTGCCACTGTGCCAGGAGTTAGAACTCAAGTCCTCAGGCTTGCATGATGGAGCCATCTCCTCAGCCCCTTCCCGTTTTTATACTGGGTTTTGAAACTGCTCTCTGTCAGAACTAATCTATTAGGTAGTAACTGTGATTTTTTTTAACCTGCTTAATCTGTACCTAAATGGTAACTTGTCATCACAAAGTAGACAGCTCTAGATAAAAGCAAGACGTAAATTAGATAACCCTTATACACAAAAAGTAAGAGAGTGAAAAAAAAAAAAAAAACAACCCAACAAAAAACCCTGAGGCAGCGGTTTTTCATTGCCCACCTCAAGCATAAATTGTTGAATAAGGAGATTTTTTTTTTTTTTTTAAAGCCAGAAATTGCTGTGGAGGGAACTGGTCCCAGCAGCTAGAGGGTTGGTCTGGGACGTGCCTGGCATCATGTGTACATAGCCTCATGCCTATCATCCTCTGGTAAAGACATTTTCAAATACAGACCAAGAGAGAACAAATGGTAAAAATCAACGTCCCATTAGAAACCACCCAGGCTTTGCTGTTTTTCTTGGGTCCCTGCTGTGCCCTAGATTTCCTGATTGCTCAGGGCAATAATAACAAAATCCTCTGATTCTTGTGAAAACCTACCCGATTGGGTTGAACTAGCTAGACCAGAGGTTCCTAACAGGGGGCTGTTTTGCCCCCAGAAGACACCTAGCAATGTCAGGAGACACTTCTGGAATTTTGTGACTTTGTGGGGGGAATGCTGCAAGCCACCACAAGGCACAGGACAGCCCCTTCTCCAATAAAGAAACTTGTTGCAAAGGTCAACAGTGCGGAGGCTGAGAAAGCTTGGGTGTGGGTGGGTGTGTGGACACACGTGTGAGCGCTTGTACAATCTGAACTTCCTTAGCAGAGGGGGGTAATGTGCCATTCTACCTGAAGTTTCCAGAACTTGGAGATGGCACTCAGGCATGCTTCAGCTCAGGCACTGAGTTGTGTTACTAATCAGACAGTTCGCTGGCTTCCGTTTCCTTTCAGGAATGCAGAGGACCTGGACATCTGGTGATGGTGCCAACGGCAGAGTGGGCTTTGGTCAAACCACTGTGTAGAACATAATGCCAGGCTTAGGCCTAGCATCGGGGAGCCTCGAAGCTTGAGCTGGGTAGAGTGCTTACTCTGTGAGCTCAGGGGTCTGACCCAAGGGCTGCCCTGCTGTAGAGCAGATCCCTGCTGGTCGCCCCACTGGGCAGTCTTCTCTTCTTTCTCGTGGAGTTGGACTTGCTGTGGTGAAAGGTCACGAGGAATGAAGCAACAAGACTCCCCGTGAGCAAGCCTTGGCGCTAAACTTCAGTGATTTTATTGGCATGGCAAGGAACTTGAGGCTTGCCAAAGACAACAAGCCCACAGTGCAGCCGAGAGTGTAGTTTCCAGGGTAGTGTGTCCCCTGCTCTGGCCTGCCCAGAGCCCTGGAGAGATCCAGAGGAGTGGAGAGGATGTGGTGTCCACCACAACGGCCAGCAGCAGCTCCTCCCTCACCTGCCCAGTCTGTACCTCCTGTTCTTACTTGCTAGTAAGCCAGCAGGGAGGGGGCACTTAGTCGGTTTTATGCTAGGATGGCTCAGTGCTGAGGGCTGGCTAGCTATGTGACCTCTGATTTCTACTCAGCCAGAGAAAGCAGGCTCTGATGAATGAACCTTGGATGCATGCATGTGCAAGTCTTCAAACTGTGAGCACGCCCCTCCCTTGATTTCCCTCCAGGTCCCTTCATCTTTTCTCAAAATATCTTGTGTAGAAATTTGGGATTAGGAAAACAAGGCTGTGTTGAAGAGCTATGAAAGGGTCTGAGTGTGCTTGAGGTCCTGCCAGAAGACCTCATGACCTGGGACATGGGCTGCTGTGTACTGCAGAGTTTCTGGGTGCCAGGCAGTGACTGGCAACAAGCTGGGGACCCTGTGGCTCACCCTCTGTACTTCACAGTAATCCTAGACAAAGGCAGGGTTTTCATGTCCATCTCACAGGGGAGAAAGTTGAGGCTCAGAGTCCTGATGGGTAGGCACACAGTCATATGCAGTGTTGATCTGCGCTTCCAAGTCACAAGGTTTGACCAGGACCAGAATTCTTAGTTTGTGCCTGGGGTGAGCCCTGGGTTTGACACACTTCTACGACTGCAGTTGCTCTCAATCTCACCGTTGGCACGTGGGTAGAGCCCTTAGCACACGCCCTCAGGAGGACACTCCTTCTAGAGAAGGCGTTACCTCCTCACCAAGGGTTCTTGAGGCCCCCATCCCTCCACTGTCGGGTCTGCTGGGTATCACCCGTGAAAAGCTTCCTTCCTTCTCTCCCAGCCTTGCAGTAGAACACAGCCTTAGCAGTCTATGGGTTTGGTGTGCAAGACCAGCCCAACGGCCAGATCTAAGTAATCTGGATTTTGTCCCTTACCTGGGTAACTCCGTTGCTTGGGATAGTCTGAACCTTCTTGGTGCCCTAACACAAGCGGGTGCTCTGGATACCTGGAAGCCAGGCTCCAGGGACAAAATCCACATATCGCCTAGTTACCTAGCTCCTCCATCAGAACCGAGAAAGATCTTGGAGACACCATAGGTGCCCCCCAGGTGAGTCTGGGGAAAGGGTGCACACAGGGCAGCAGCGCAGGGCAGGTACCCAGGCCCGGTGTGACCATCTCCAAGGGCCCTTGGGAACATTAGAAGGTGAGTTGATTGGGGAGAGTGGCACCTACCTCTCAAGAGCACCAGGACGCATGCGTAGGGGAGCATAGCTGCAGGCATCCCTTCGGGGGTCACTGAAAGGAGTCTCCAGCAGCCAGCCATGGGCTGGGGCGGGCTGGGTCCTGTGCCCCTTGCCTGGGCTGCGCCGCTGCTTGTGGACTGGGGATCCTGGAGAGCTGAGCTGCGCACTCATAGGTCTAACTTGCCAGAAGAGGTGGAGACCGTCCCGGAGCAGTGCACAGCCCCGGGCTGGCTGCTCCTGCAGCTCACACTCCCATACGACCTTCCTGAGCCTTGCCTCCAGGGTCCTCGCCTCCCCAAGAGCCCTTGCTCAGGGCAAGGAAGCCCTCCCCCGCCCCCCCGCCCCCCCCCCCCCCCCCCCCCCCCCCCCCCCCCGACAAAGCCAGAACGCTGTGCTTCACGCCCCAGAGCACTCAGGTCAGGCTGTTCCTGGGAAGGGCAAGGGCCTAGGGATGCAGAAAGTTCTTCTTAGCCTTTATGGGCCCAAGACCCCAGAAATGTCTGTTGAGGTCTTCCAGATACTCTTAGCGCGGGAGCACAGTGAAAGTGGCCAAGCCTGCCTTGCTCTGTGTAATTAGGCAAAGCCTGGAGCCGTCTGGGACGGGTTTCCTCCCCCACCCAACTCCTCCTCCTGCGGCCACTCCGCCCGGACTCATCCGAGGGAGTCGGTTTTGGGTGGCAGCGCAGAGGCAAAGCAGCTGCGAGGCCAGGCAGAATACCTCCAAAAGGGTCCCCGGAGCTCACCAAGTCAGACATTGAAAGGGACACCCTGTGTGGCAAAACAAGCCGTGTGACCACCTGGGAAGGGGGCATGAGAAAGTTAGGGTTGTATAAAGGAAGAGAGTGAGGTGGCTGGGGAAAGTGGCTTTGGTCTGTTCCTCGTCACAGGGAGCACCAGGCTGGTGGTGTGTGGGTCCCAAGGGGCAGCAGCTCCTTGTGTTGTCAGGAGCTGGGAGCTGGGAGAAGATTTAAGAAGGGGAGAAGAGGAGGGGAGAGGGAGACCAGGGAGGGAGGGAGAGAGAGAGAAGAAAAGGAGAAGAGAAGAGAGAAGATTGAGAATGGAAGGGATAGAGGAAGAAAGAAGTGATGGAGGACTGGAGGGAGGGAGTGGAGAAGAACACAGGAGGAGGAGGAGGGGGAGGAGGGGGAGGAGGGGGAGGAGGGGGAGGAGACTGTCTTCCTGAGGCAGGGCTGTGTCCAGGCGCCTGTTGGAGCAGTCAGCTTGGCCCTCAGAAGGCTTCCCAGGTTTTTTCAACTGCCCACTTCAGTGGGCTGAGCATCCCACAAGGGACCCAAGACACCTCTTCTCTTTCTTGAGGAACTGGGGTGAGTTGCTCAGGGACTCAGGGACCCCAAGATCCCTTCACCTCCATCCCCAGGACCCCCAGCCTAGGACCCACTGCTGTCCTTACTATTCTCTGCAGAGGCAAGAAGGAAAGGTAAAAGCGCCTACTGGGCCCTTCACAAGGAGGTATGAGAGGATCTATCTCCTTCCAGAAGGTGCTATTTCTTTTGGTGTCTGTGGATTACTGAGCACAGCATGAGGTTTGTGGTGGATGTCTGAAATCCACATCAATGCAAACCTCCCCTGGCCAACAGCTGTCCCTGTCACGGGAAGTTTGCTTAAGGGCCAGAGGAGAGCTGTGCATGGTGATTATTTATAATTTGCATAATTGTGATGATTTGTGGTGACTATGTGTCCATAAATTTGTAAAAGTTGCCACTGCAGATTAAGATTCTCTGCCCATCTTCTGCCCATGACGTGATGACTGGCCTCTCTGTGCCTTCTGAATCCATGGCAAGTCCCAGGATGTAGAGAAGAGCTCAAATATTAGTGGTTTTTTTCTCTTTGTTGTTTGTTTGAAAAGGGGTTTTTCATGGCTGTCCCAGGTGGAGTTATAATTTGATCTTTCAGAACTTACCACGCTGCTGTTAAAAGCAGAAGCTCCCCGCAGAGGATGGCAGGCAGGATGGCTGTACTGGCTGATTTCCCCACTAGAACTGTTGATTGCTGAGAACACAGGGCGGCCACCTGTTGTGTCCCTCACATCCAAATGAGCCAGTAGTTCTTGTTAGCTCCAGGTTGCAGCCATCTCTCCAGCCCCAGCATGAGAAAAAATGAGTTTTGAGTTTAGACCATTGTCCCCGGCCCACACAGGTGGATAGCAGGAGGTGGAGGGAGCAGTACTCAGGACAGTAGGGGAAGCTGGAGAGGAATGGGTGCCCAGGTGATGGGTCCACACTCCTCACTCCACAGGTAAGAAGGCAGAAGCATGCACAGGGTGGGTGAATTAGCTGGCACTTAGCTGCTCGGAGATAACCCAGCCTTCACCTCAACACAACACAAAGCAGAAATGAAGTTAAAGGGGCCTGGGAGGGTCAGTGGTAGAAGTGTTCTGTCTAAACTAGTGACTTGCATTCATCCCCAGAAACCATGTAAAGGTGGAAGGAGGGACTGACTGCACAAAGTTGTTCTCTGACCTCCCATGGCACATCCATCCCACATCCATCCTCATGCACCCATGACAATATTTTTTTTAAAAAAGTAGACAAATCAAGTGTTACAGAAATTTCCAGAAGGAGACTACTGACAGACCGAAGAAAGACCTCCATCCAGCTCCAGCTTGGGAAGAAATGATCTTATGGGAGTTACAGGAACACAACGGACTCACAGATACACCACCAAGTCCCTTGGGTGGCTTATGTGCACCACTGAAGAGTCCTATCCGCAACCCACACAGCTCACATAAAGCTGTACCACTGAAAAGTGTTCTGGATAGCTATGGGCAGCCATCCTACCAAAGTAGCTCCCCAGGAACCCTGGTGAATTGTTGGGGAAGGGAGGGGTTTGTGAGAGTTTACCCCCACCTCCACTAGGGAATGTCAACAGTGGAGACCTCCTGAGAGTGTCACGCTGGAGGTAACTGTTGCTCTCGTTCATGATGGTGACCATCACGTCTAGCCCAGAAAACGGCCACACAGCATAGCATCTGAACAAGGTTCTCCTGGAGTTGTGGCGACACCGAGTGAGAAGGGGAAGGAGAGACTAAAGTTACGACTCCCCTATGACTTCAAACTGACTTTACTTTTAAAAATAAAGGAAGGAAAGAGGAAGAAAGGAAAGAGGGAAGAGAAGGGAGGGGAGAGGAAACATGGAAGGGAGGAAGGGAGGGAGAAAAATAAAGAAAAGATAAAAAGCTACATTACCTCGACCTTCTGTTTTGCAAGAGGAAGGATGCCACACTCAGCTCCTGTCCACTTTCCTAGCTCTAGAGTAATCAGGAAAAATCCCAGAATCTAGAAGATCCAGAGTGGATGTGTTGTCTGGGGAAGAAGCCCCACCCAGTGCTGGTGCCTCTCAGGGCACCATTGCTTTGGAGTGTGCAGAGCTCTGCTTTCTGGGTTGGTAATCACAGAGGGACCCTTCAGGGTGTCAGAGCTTCTTGGGGGTAGTTATAGGGGTTTCTTGACAGACACGGGGGTGCTAGGGATCTCTCATGAGCCAGGCCCTTCGTCTCTCCCCCCACTTCTAAACACCCACTTTCCCATCCTTGCCCATGTTAAAGGCACCAGGAGATAAGATCGACCAAACTCTTACTGAGAAATGCTGTTTCCTTTGCCCACTATCAGGGTGTCTGATCAAAGAGTTGGTGCCCAAGTTAGTTATCTAGTAACCAAATAAGCATCAAGGTGGCCTCCCAGGGACTGCTCTGGATGAATAAGAGCCAGGCCAGAACAGGATCCTGCCTTTCTCAGACCCGAAAACTCCCTGGAAAGGAGTTGAAGGCCACATGGCTGATGTGCAGTGGAGCCTAGCTGGGAAAGCTCTGGGGCTTGGAAGTGGTTTCTCAGCCTACCCCTACACTTCTGGATTCTGAGTGGCTTCTTGTCTACTTGATTCTTGGGAGGCAGCATGTGGAAATCCCTTGAGCTTCCTGGGACCTCCTTCATCAACCCTTATACCTGTCTTAGGCATTTTTTTTCCTTGCCTCATCTGGATGTTGTGTGTATGGCTGTGGGGAAGTGGTGACATTGGAGGACTTAGCTTAGTGGATATGTTTGAATGAATAGATGGATTACTGGGTAGAGGGATGAGAGAGTGGATGGATGGATGGACTGGGGCTTAGATAGATGTGTGGGTAGATTGATGGAGAGGTGAGTGATGGATAGACTAAGGCTTAGATAGATGAATTGACTAATGAGTAGATGGATGGATTGAGGTTTAGATGGATGGGTGGATGGATGGATGAGTGAGTGAATAAATTGAGGTTTAAATGGATAGGTGTATGGATGGTTGAATGAATGCATGGATTAAGACTTAGATGGATGGGTGGATGGATGGATGAGTGTGTGAATGGGTGGGTGGATAGATGGATGAGTGAGTGGATGAACTGAGGTTTAGATGGATGGGTGGATGGATGGATGGATGAGAGGATGAATGGATTGAGGTTTAGATGGATGGGTGGATGGATGGATGAGTGGGTGTGTGGATGGGTGGGTGGATGGATGGATAAGTGGTGGGTGCGAGGGTGGGTGCTGGCTGGCATTGTAATCGTCACAATTGTTACCTGAATAATGTGGAATCCCCCCCCCACATTCACTAATTAATTAGTAATAATTCATCAGTGAACCCCATGATTCATCAACTCACCCCTGAGTTACCAGCCCTGAAACTGTGGAGACACACCCTAGTCCTGGTCCTCAAGAGACGTTTTTCCACAAAGGCAGGCCATGGTTTCTCATAGGAGTAGCAGCAGGACCAAGAAGGTGGATGGATGTTTCTACAGAGTTAGAGTTTCTGCCCCTTCCAGGTTCTCCTTGGACACCACTTTGCCTGTGTGACACTTTGTGTCAGAATATAGGCCAGGCACCATATTCGCAGACCTGCACATTCTTGCAGAATTGCTGTTTCAGGCAGAGTCCCCTGTCCACCCCCCTTTCCCATCTACCAGCTGGTGCCAAGAAAGGGCATACCTACTGAGACAGATTCTCCTGCTTTGTGGGAGGAGAAAAATAATGCCAAGTCAGTTAGTGTCCTCCATACCGCCGGTTATAAAGTGTGCTGTTATCCTCCTATGTAAAAATCAATACGGACTCCTAATACACTACCTTAACAGCACAAAGTTTATTATTTCTCTTCCATTATGAAATTAGCAGTGCTCC